AAACCTTACTCTTTATTGCTTTTTCAATCTTTTGAATTTTATTTTTAGGATATTTTTTCTCCATTAAACGTTTTCTTTTAATTGGTGATTCTCCAATATTGTGTAATGTTTCATTAATCGATTCAAAGGCATCCTGATTATGGGTTATTGGGGATATAAATTCTTCGGGAATGTGTGGACCAATTTTACTTAACTGGTATCGGCACGAATTACATATTTTTTGTTGAAGATATAAATGATTATTTATATTAAGCATCCATGGAAGAACTGATCTTAAATTTTTTTAAATTTTATGATTTACTTTATTCAGTGGATTGCAACATTTTATCTTATCTTTTAAGGGTTTCATTTAAAAAAATTTATTTATTTTTAAACGACAAGTAAAAATATTTATATGTAAAAGATATGAATCGGTGTTTGTGAAAAAATATTAAAGAAATCAATTTGTATTTTTAGCAACTGTGATTTATCGATTAAATTCGCTAATTAATTTTGCTAATCAGTTTATTTTTAATAATTTTAAGAAAAGATAAAAACAGCTGACTTACTTTTATTAATTTTTTCAGTGTTAAACATATGCTCAAAATTCAAAGACTTTGATCAAAAATTTTATAGAGAATGCTCAAATTCATTTGATACCCAAAATTTTATAACTTAATTTTTTGTTAATTATATCGCTTAAAAATTTTTTAAAAATCTTTGAAATTTTCTGGTTAATGACAATTTTATAACATTCTTGGTCTTGATGGGTATGACTTAGTCTGTTGAGGGGGGATGGGGGGTAGGCCGGGTAATTATATGATTTTCGATTTTTCCCTTAATAATTTTCCTGCACTCCTTTAATCCTGCTTTTTTGTTCGCATGTTAGTCGGATTTTTTAATTATTTTTAATTTACATTGAAATATTAAAAAAATTATTAAAATTTTTTATCCTGCGAATATCTCAGGGGAATAAGGTTTACAAAGTTATATAATCGAATTTTATGATATATTATACATTAAAATATTTTTAATCAATAAAAAAATGAATTTTAACATATTAAAACTATTATATATAGCGCCATCTATTTTTTTTAAAGTATAAAAATCGCAATATTTTTTAAAATAAATATCCAGCCATGCTAATTGTTGAAGAAATTATTAAAAAAATAGTAAACGGATAATATTTCTTAAAAAAATTAAAAATCGGAGATCATATACATTTCGAAATATTAATTTCAAGTTTTCAACTGACCATAAGATGACCCATATTTTATAAAAAATTAATTTTGATGTTTTCGCCATAATCATAAATTATTAACTTAGCTATTGATATTAGATTCAATATTTGATCATATTTAGTTTTAAATTAAAAACTAATTATTTGACATCAGTAAAAAGCAAAAAAAGACGTTTTTTGGACCTTTAACCCAGATTATCTCGGCTAATATAGTTGCTAATGCGCTAAAATTTTGTTTATAATCTAATGGGAACATATATAACCAGTCTACAACTTTTTATCGAAATTGAAAGGGGTCGGCCGAAAATCTTGATTTTTTTGCTCATTTGACATGGAATAACCCTTTAATCATAGTCAAATTATATATAAGTTAAACAAAAAAGTTATGCATTTAATCAAAAATGTTATGATAAGTTATGAAAAATATACATTCTACAATTAAATTTTGAAGTTATGAGAAAATATACAAAACTATGTAATGCATGTAGAAAGGCCAATTTCAGAAAAGATAAGAGAGATGCAAATATTTACTTATGCATAAAAATTACCTAATTAAGAGATATTAAGTTGTATAAAATTCAATGTGGAATGGATCCTTCTTAAGGGTTTTAAAACTCCCATCTGCAAGAATAAATTTTTAGATTATAAAATACAAATGAATAAAAATTTATTTTAAAAGACTTTTTAATTGTACACATAAATTAAAATTACTAAATATATACTTTATTAACATTATAATAATAATGGAAAATTTTAGAATAACCCTAAATAAATATAAATTTTTAAATAACACCTCATAAGATAGGAAAATTTATAATTCATCCCTCATCAAATAAAAGAGAAAATTCTGAATCCCCATATAATGGTTTAAATTTTAAATAAAATATTTTACCAGATTAAGAAAAAAAACATTTGCCGGGATTCGAACCCAAGTCCAATAATCCATCTAGATTTGTAAGCGAAGTTCTTGCCCTATTGGGCCACAGGCACTTTTCAAAATTAACGATTTTTTGAATATATATTATAAAGTGGGACATGAGAGCGTAACGCTATTTTTGTGACAAGGGTTTTATATATATTATAGATGTTTTACAGAACTGTTAATATTTTTTATTGTATATCTAATTTTAAATAGAAAAAATTATTGTAATATGTTAATAATGAACACTATCAAATAATTAGAGAAATAAAAGTGCATATTACTTTAATTTATAATATTGAAACCTATTTTAAGGTCGACAGTATTTCTTATTGTTTCTTCTTTATAAAACATGAGATTTATCCAACTAAGAAAGACCATTCACAGCAGTTTATGTTTACCTTGTTAATCACATCACCCACTCAATTGATAAGGTATAAGTAGAAATGAAATGGCAAATGATTAAATTTATTTTTAAAAAATGTCTAATATACCGATTAATTTAAATATTTGATCAAATTATTCGAATAATAATACAACTAATTAGTCGAATAATTATTTATTATTTGAACATAACGAATAATTATATTCGCATTCATTACTATCTAACTCGGTTGAGCGGGCCTAAATATCAATATTGGAAATCTATTGTTAAAATTTGAATTTAGAATTAATCTAATCATTTTTTATTTAGCTTGATATTTTGTTAATGTTTATATAAAATATAATTAAATGATTATAAAATATTATTGTATAAAATATAGTATCAAATATTTCTAATACAACTAAAAATGTGTTTTAATACCGGTTTTTAAAATAAAATGTATCTAGATTAGAGGTCGAATGTGCGAGTTTTTAACTCGAATTCCCACCCATCATTTTAAAATATTAAGCTTGCTCATCCACCTATGATTTTTTTAAATATCGGCTGAAAATAAATGCCCGGAAAAAAATTCCCACAGAAAATATTTCCCTGAAATAAATTCTTCCATATTTTAGATTTTTGTTATATTATCATTTTAGTGGAGATGATGAAAATGTATATAAGATTATTTTTACAAGGCTCAGGTAAAAAATTTAGGTTTAACTATTTTTTAAATGGGAATTGAGAATATGAGGAGTAACTTTATAAAACGAATCCTTCTTCCAGGTAATTGAAAAAATTTCGTATAACCAACCATTTTTAAGGCAATTGTGAAAATTTTCTATTAAAATCCCCCAATTTTATATTTAAAATATTTCTAAAAACTTCTTGGAATTGATTAATAATTTAAAACAAAATTGGTTTATAAAAATTATTCTTTTAAAAAATAAAAACTGATATGAAGATTGCTGAGGTGTTCAACATGATACTTACTAAGCCATTATTTATTTCACCGTAATTATCTATTTTATTGGTTATTAAGGTTTAATAATACGCCTAAAGTATATTTTCTATTAATCTAAATTGTTTTAAAAAAATATATATAGATAAAGGATTATAAAAAAAGGACAATTTTTCGTTCGATATATATTAAAAGATTATTTGATTTATTCTTGCGTTGATTTGATTTGATTTTGGGATAAAAGTAAATTCGTATGGAGTAAGAAGGCTCTTGACAGAGATATTTCTTATAAAATTTCCTCCAGTCATGAATCATGATAAGCCTAATTCTTTCCAATAAATATCTAAAAGTTGGGAAAAAAATATTTATGGGCAAATCAAAAATTATTTAATTTTCTTTAATTACTTGAAACCTCGAAACAAGAAAATTTTAAAAAAAAGTTTTTTAAAACAGAGACCTGCCTATCAATGGTGTTAATTTAAAAATTTGGGCCGATCTTAAAAATTTAAAAAAATGAAAGATCCGGGACAGGCTATTACAATTTAATTTGAACTTATGATAATATTTTACTTTTAGATACTAGGTATCTATCAGGTAATTTAGGTTAGGGGTATGATATAATTAAGCATTCATTTATTTTATAATAATTGTCATTCATAATTTTCACCAATACTGGGTTCAGTATACTTTGCACACATTATATATTGTAGGTAAAGTTTATGCCACCAAATATAAAAAATAAACCTAAATAGAGTGTCATTGCTCAAAAACTTTTTAGCCTATACTAAAAAACAATTAAGCCGACCTAGAATAGAACACAACCTAACTACATTTTATTGTTTATAAGTTTGGTTAACAATATTATTTGGGAAATTTTTGGATTTTATTTGGGGATATTTTTGAATTTTTTTTTCCATTTTATTAATTTTCTAAAAAAAATACTTTTAGGTTCTAAAAAGCGGAGAATCATTTTCCTGGGATTATTTTTTCCGGGGAATTATTTTCCTCCTGCCCAATGTATAAAAAATATTTTATTGGTCAATTTGGCTGTTTATTTATTTTATTTGCATGTATTTATTTTTAAACTTATGAAATATGCAATATTATGAAGTAAAAAATTTTTTTAAAAATAAATTTGAGATTTCCTAGTTTCACCCGAAGAGTATTTTAAAATACACCCACCCGCCTATTCTGCTAAGAATATTTAAAATCCGTCCCTCATCCGCTTTATGTTAAAATGCGTAACCAGGGCGGGCGGACTAAAAACCTGCCCATTGCATCTCTGTTCTAGACACTTTAACTAATTCGTGACACATAAACTGATTATTAAATTTTAATAATAAAGTTGTATTCATAAATTACTGAAATAACTTTTTTTTCAAATTTTTTAATATGTTTTTTAATAATATTTTTTTAATTTTATGTATAATTTTAACCTCATAAAAAGGTTAATATTATTTTTTAGAGATTTTATTTTATACATATTTCTCTTCTATATAATCATGTCTAATATTTTTTTTCATCAACATAATTTAAGATTATGTTGGAGTAGCAAAGGATACTTCAACAGGCTTGGCCAGTATAACAATAGACAAACATGGTATAATAACAATATTACAAAACAATTGATCTTATTTAAGCACATGATATCAATTTATTTTGCCTAAATTTGACAAGTTTAACTAGATTTTATCGTCGTGTGAGCATAGGCTTAGCCAGGATTTTCCTGAAATATATTTATATTCATTTTATTTATATCATACAAAAACAGGACAAAATTTTATAATAGTCATTCCCGGCGCTAATTGGCTTATGAGCCCTCAAATCTTGAATCGAATTTTGTACCAAATCAATGAAAATGGTGAAATAGTTAAGAGTAAAATCAAATGCAAAGTGCTGGTCACTCAAAGAGAGGTGCCGGATCTGGTTGTGTTGGAAAGTCTGAAATGGGCCAAAGGATATTACGGTCACTATGAAGAGTATTATTAATTTGCAATAACAATACCATTATTATTAACGTATATGATATCATCGATCTTTTATTATTCCTAATATTATTCCATACAGGAGGTCAAGTGATCTAAAAGAAAAATTATATTAAGTTTTTTTAAGAACCCCAATGAATTAGGATATTAGTTGATATGCAAAAAAAAATTTAATTATATTTTGATTGATTATCGGTGAATCAAAGCATTCATTATCTAAATAAAAAGCGAAGTTAGAATTTGCATATATTTTTTATGAACGTCATAAAAGGAGGTAGACCTCTATTCAAATCAGAATTCGAAAAGAAATCTTTGAAGAAGGGTAATTTTTGTCAGATTTTACCTAGAAATGCTAAGAATCTTTCATAAGTAAATTTTTGTATTTATCACAACATAAATAATTTGCAAGATGAAATCAAAATTTTTTTGAAAATAACTTCAAGATGAAATCAAAAATTAATCTTTTTGCTCAAAATTTTTTAAATTTGCAAACTGATTTAAATAAAATAAATTTGTCAGAGAAATTTCCAACGACAATGACGAAAAGGAACCAAGAGATCATTTTAGCGATACATTAACTATATTTAATCCTTCACCAATCAAGGCCTCCGAACGTGATGAATTGTTCAAATCGGGAATATTTGATTATTGCGATATTGTTTGCCTCAATGAAGTTGAGATCGGGATGCTCACAATTACAGATGAGCCATATAAAGGTTGGGTAAATTTTTTTTAAAATATAGCACTTTTTTTCGACCTTGTCTACCAATCACCAAGATGAATTTTATCAATAAAATAATTAGGCAGTAGATTTTATAAAATTAGTGATCCTTTGTCTCGGGCCTGCGGTGTTTTAAAAAATGTGTTTAGCTTTTAACCATTTTTATAACTGTGTTCCTTAAACCGGAAATTTTTAGAACAGTTAAAAGAAAGAGCGTAATGATTAGTTATCCTATCTCCTATATGCAGTATTTATATTGTCAAACCATGGTACTATTTTTGAACAATTACTGTCTTTCACATAAGTAATACTATTATTTGAATGATTTTTTTTCATCGATTCAAATAACTTAAATAATTGACGAATCTAATTGAATCAATTATTCAAATAATTACAATATTCTAATTAAAATTTATCTAGAAATGATCTATATAATTTTTTAATTAAAAAAATATATTAACCCCTTAAAATACCAAGGTATTAAAGACCTAATAAAAATTAAAAATTAATACATTCATAATAACTTACTTATCTATCAAAATTTCAAAACAAATTTATTAATTATATGATTTTTTGAATGTTCTAAAAATCAAACATTGGGAGGTAACGAGTTTATTTTTTGGTTAAATAATTTAGAGCATTTTATAAATTGCAACGACCTTGACATTGACTTTAATTGGCCTATGACTCATTTATACCTCTCGGATTAAATAAATTGAACTTCTTGATGGGCCAAGGCGGTAACGTTTTTCAGGTGCATTCAAATAAAAAATCGCTCAATAAATTTTATGAATAGTGTCGTGATGACGTTGAAGAAGTGATGGGCTGTCATTATTATTATATAAAATACATAGATACCGATTTTGTTTACTTGGTACAATATATTCATATTTAATACAACATATTCTTATTGTCAATTATATTTGATACGGATGATGATGAATGGTAATGGGCAAATTGGAGACAGATGGGATTTGGTTGAATGAATGGAATGGTATGATGTCGAAGTAGGGTCAAATGGGAGGCAAATGAGATTTGGTCGAATGAATGGAATGGTATGATGCCGGAGTACATTGGAATTTCGGCACCAATTGTAGTAATCTAATCGATTGTATTTGTCGTAAACGTACCAAATCGCATCTGCCTCCCATTTGCCCATTACCATTCATCATCATCCCAATCCCATATCATTGCTAAATCCCATTCGAATATTACCCATCATTCATCATCATTCTCAAATCCCCATTTGACCATTATTTATGTTAATCATTTGCCCATTATCAATTCCATTACCATCTCTAATTATTTGACCATTACCATTCTTCATCATTTCCCAAATCAAACTAGCTCATTGCATTACCCTTCATCATCATCCCCAAATCAAATTAGACCATTTCAAATTAAATTAGACCATTGCAAATCAAATTAGACCATTACAAATCAAATTAGACCATTGACAAATCAAATTAGACCATTGCTAAATCCCATCTGCCATCATTCATCAACATTCCCAAATCCCCATTTGACCATTACCATTATTAATCATTTGCCCATTACCATTCTTCATCACCCACATCTAATTCATCATTGTTCTCCATATCATTATCCATCTTGTTTCTTCGCAACCTTCTCCATCCCTCCATCATCATCCTCAAATCCCCATTTGACCATTACCATTGTTAATCATTTGCCCATTACCATTCTTCATCACCCACATCTAATTCACCATTGTTCTCCATATCATTATCCATCTTGTTTCATTCGCAACCTTCTCCATCATATCCCATTTGATCCTTTATTTGTATCATTATCATTGTACTTTCCTCATTACTCATCCTCCAATCTCAATTGATCATTTCACCCCCCATTTGAACATTCCCAATCACCCCTCATTTCACCATTTAATACCCATCAATTATCTAACACCAAGATATTCTTTTTTCTTTTTTTAATCTTTATAACTTTTCCTTTTTTAATTTTCATAATTTTCTTTAATCTTTTCTTTTTTTTTAAACTTCATAATTTTTCTTTTTTAAAAAAATTTTTTTTCTTTTCTTTTTAATTTCTTTTTTTTTACAAAACCACATCTTTACAAAACCAATAACCATTATTTAATACATATAACATTGCTTTCAAAAATACTATCTAAATATATAATCATTTATCTACAGCACTCATTCCAAAAAAATAATAATTAAAAACACCATATTATAATCGGTTACCACCAAATAAATTGTCTAGTAATATATATATATTTTAAATCACTCATAAACATTAATTATATATTATTTCTTTTTACATTAAATATACTAATATTAAATTATATATACAATCATCCATTCCTTAATTCTTCTTCATCACCATCAACAATTACAAAAGACAATTTAATTAACAACCTTTCCAAAAATAAATAAATAATCGAACAAACATTAACACCATTAAATTTCAACATTTCCAAAATCTCCAATTCCAATCAAAAATAAACAAAAATTACATTTAAACACATACACTTATATTATTACAACAATTAACTTTTATTTTTATGACCTTTTATTATTCTTAATTAAAAAATAAAATAATCCCCATTATTTACCAAAAAAATTAACTTTCAAATAACATGTAATATATTTTATTTTCCATTTCGTTAAAAATAATATAACACTAATCAAAATTATCATAAAATCATCTTATATCTTATAAGAAATAATTAATCTTCCTATACCCACCACATTTCCCTTTTAAATTAATACACAACATTTAATCTATTTCTATTAAAAAATATATCTCGAAATTTTACTTATAATTTACATCAAAAACAAAATACTTAACAGCTGCATTTTTACTTACTATTCCTTAACTTTTATACAAAGAATACTATTAACAATAATCTTTAGACAACTAATTATAGATAAGAATTAAACTAACATATATTTGAAATACCAATCACCGAAAAATAATATTTCATTCTCACCACTACCACTTAAGACTCCAAAATTTTTCTATCTATTTAAATAATTACTATTAATCTCACCTATGAATATTACAATAATTTTTTTATATCCTCTTCCTCTCTATTATAAACATTCATATATAATCTTTAATTATATTTCCGATTAAAACCTGGGAAAAAAATGATCTTTATTATACTAAATCAGAAATCTAATAAAATCAGTATTGCATCAAATTACCAATATAATTTCTTTTAAATTAAGATTAAAGAATATATCTATTTCCATGTTACTATAAATGATCATCCTTTCCACATCTAAAACATCTACAGAAACCTTCTATATTCCTTATCTCTACCCCACTCCTGCATACTCTACTCATATGTCCCTCCTCCCACACCTAAAACACCGTAATCCTTTCGCTCTCCCCATCCACTACCTATACCTACTATCTCAGCACTCCTCTCCATTCTAAACCCCATACTACAACCACCTTCACAAACCTTTCTAATACTCAACTTACCTACCCAAAACCCTATATAATACACTATTATAAGCACTAGTAATACCACCAGTGCTAAAATATGTAACTGATTAATGGTATAATATATAAATTTTGCCATTGTTACTCCTACCTTTTATAATAAAGAAATTAAAAATTTAATCAAATAAATCCTAAAAGACTGATTTGAAAACAATAGAACAGCTGTTAAGATCAACAAGGTATAAATGATGTAATACATTAAAATCTAAATTAACCTGATACTTCTAAATATGCCCAGGTCCCGGGTTTCGTGTACCAATTGTAGTAATCGATTGTAATTGTAAACGTATCAAATATAATTGACAATAAGAATATGTTGTATCAAATATGAATATATTGTATCAAGTAAACAAAATCGGTATCTATGTATTTTATATAATAATAATAATAATTGGCAGTCCTTCACTTCTTCAACGTCATCACGACATCTTCCCCCTTTACAAACAATTACAATCGAATCGATTACTACAATTGGTACACGAAACCCGGAACTGGGCATATTTAGAAGTATCAGGTTAATTTAGATTTTAATGTGTTACATCATTTATACCTTGTTGATCTTAACAGCTGTTCTATTTCAAATCAGTCTTTTAGGATTTATTTGATTAAATTTTTAATTTCTTTATTTTAAAAGGTAGGGGTAACAATTTCAAATTTTATATATTATACCATAAATCAGTTACATATTTTAGCACTGGTAGTATTACTATTGCTTATGGGTAGGTAAGTTGAGTATTAGAAAGGTTTGTGAAGGTGGTTGTAGTATGGGGTTTAGAATGGAGAGGAGTGCTGAGATAGTAGGTATAGGTAGTGGAAGGGGAGTAGCGAAAGGATTACGGTGTTTTAGGTGTAGGCAGGAGGGACATATGAGTAGAATTGCAGGAGTGGGGCAGAGATAAGGAATATAGAAGGTTTCCGTAGATGTTTTAGATGTGGAAAGGATGATCATTTAATTAAGGGTTGTCCCGGGTTTCGGCACCAATTGTAGTAATTGAATCGATTGTAATTGTTTGTTAAGGGGGAAGGTGTCGTGATTACGTTGAAGAAGTGAAGGGCTGTCAATTATTATTATTATATAAAATACATACCTATTTTGTTTACTTGATACAATATTTTCATATTTGATACAACATATTCTTATTGTCAATTATATTTTATACGTTTACGACAATTACAATCGATTCGATTACTACAAATAGAAAGTGAGACATTTTCACCAAAAGAAATATTCTTCAATTGGCTACAACACATGAATTAAGAAAGTTCGCGAATAAGCACCACCCCCATTTTTGCTGTGCAGTTGGGGGCGTTAATCGCTCAAAAATCTATTGAATGTATCAATACCTCCCTTATTTTTATTATTATGTAATCATATTTGGTTGATAGATATAAATATATACCTTATGCTTAGAACTCCTTTGCTTAATTTAGTGGATATATTCCATATTTACTCACCACTGCTATAGGACGACTATCATTCCAATAACACAGAGCAATCTTTTCATCACTGAAGATTTTATAAGATCTTCTGAAACTGATAATGACATTTTTCGTTCGATTTATTCGGATTGTTCATGTACATCGTAAACCCTTTTCTCCTAGTATTCTGCATAAATTTGTGGAAGTGAAAATTTTATCAAAGAATAGTGCATGTTCTTGAATATTAAAAGTAACAGCTGTCAATTACTACTACCACAAGGACAAGCTTCATTGTTATCATTTCCAGTATCAATATCAAAATCAAAAAGTTATTCACAAGATGAAGATAGCCAAATATATACATCAAATTTTGCTGGCTTTCCTCGCATGTACATCTTTTATAGTTTGGTTTCCATAATAGGGGATCATTTTTTCACCCAACCTAAATTTTCTTTGAATATCCCAAATTTTTGTAAATTTTGATCAATAATATCTAAAAATGGTCTGACCTTCACTAATTTATCAATTTTATCGATATCTAAATTGTTGCCCAGATGATATCTTGATCGTTACCTTCTTCGCCTGCTACGTCTCCTATATTGCCTGGTGGTAATATACAATATGTTTCTAAAGCTATTTTAAACGAGTGAATTTCATGCTGGCAATATCAAAAAAATTTTACAAATTAAAATTTGAAATTTATATATCGTTATTTAACAATGTTTGAAAAATGGAACTAAAATATTTCTTAATTTTATTCTATTATATTTCTAAAATAACTCTATATTTTAGATTTCTTAATATATATTTAATCTCTTAATATTTCTTGATATATATTTAATCTCTCAATTTAAATATATTCTATTTAGTATTTTTTTCTATTAATTTCTAGGTATTTCTTTATTCTATTTTCATAAAATATAATCCATAAATTTTTATATATCAATTTTATAATTTTTATTAATAATAATCATCAATACAAAAACATTCGTTTTTCTTTTGTTATTACCAAAACCTTCCGCGCCGATATAAAAATCAATATCAACAAAATCAATATTATTACTAACTAAATATATATTTATAATAATTGACATCTATCAATCATTTAATAATAATAATTTAAATATATATAAAATATATTATATATATATAAAATATATTATATATATATATAATATATATATCACGACCGCCCAAAAAAAACAAGACGTGATAATAAAAAAAATATGTGAACTGGAAATTTTTACATTTATATATTATCTTTGTCTTCCTTCAACATCTCTTCTTCTTCAGTCTCCATATGAATATATTTCTTTTGTAAATCGATATTGTCATTCACTTTAATCACTGTTGAACCCATCTTAGTAGCCTTGTCACTGGTATTTTGCGTCTTAGCATAATATTTGTATTTATTCTCCATCAAGATATTTGATTCTCTCAAGTTTTTAGCTTGTATATTATTTGCTCTTTTAAACTTTCCTTCATAATTATGCGGAGGCCATGGTCTATTACCGTATTGGTTACTAGATTCAATTTCATTTGTTTTATTATAATTTACATATTCAACTAAGGTATTGATGAAACAAGAGTGTAATGATTATGTGAGTGACTCGGAGGAAGTCCCTACAACCAGTTATTTTTGTGGAAAAAATAAAAATGTAATATCGGGGGATAAATATGTAAATTATAATAAAACAAATGAAATTGAATCTAGTAACCAATACGGTAATAGACCATGGCCTCCGCATAATTATGAAGGAAAGTTTAAAAGAGCAAATAATATACAAGCTAAAAACTTGAGAGAATCAAATATCTTGATGGAGAATAAATACAAATATTATGCTAAGACGCAAAATACCAGTGACAAGGCTACTAAGATGGGTTCAACAGTGATTAAAGTGAATGACAATATCGATTTACAAAAGAAATATATTCATATGGAGACTGAAGAAGAAGAGATGTTGAAAGGAAGACAAAGATAATATATAAATGTAAAAATTTCCAGTTCACATATTTTTTTTTATTATCACGTCTTGTTTTTTTTTTTTCTAAATATTTCAATTTTTATATTTTTCTCAAACTTATTTTTTTCCCTAATAAGTGTTAACGTATCCTGGTACCACTGCACCAATAAAATATTTCTTAATTTTATTCTATTATATTTCTAAAATAACTCTATATTTTAGATTTCTTAATATATATTTAATCTCTTAATATTTCTTGATATATATTTAATCTCTCAATTTAAATATATTCTATTTAGCATTTTTTTCTATTAATTTCTAGGTATTTCTTTATTCTATTTTCATAAAATATAATCCATAAATTTTTATATATCAATTTTATAATTTTTATTAATAATAATCATCAATACAAAAACATTCGTTTTTCTTTTGTTATTACCAAAACCTTCCGCGCCGATATAAAAATCAATATCAACAAAATCAATATTATTACTAACTAAATATATATTTATAATAATTGACATCTATCAATCATTTAATAATAATAATTTAAATATATATAAAATATATTATATATATATATAATATATATATCAGGAACATAATAATATTTTACTCATATCTTCTGGGAATACCTTTGAGGCTAATATTTTAATCAATTATAGTTAAAGATTGGTTTACTAGAATATATAATTTTTTTGAATAAAATTTTGTCTAAACTTGTTTTTTTTTAAAAAGTTTTTATGATTGAAAATAAAATCTAGAAAAACTTTAAAATCTTAAAGATTTTACAAAATAAGTTGAAAAAATTTTTGCTTGCATTTTTAGAAAGAAATAGATGGCGAGACACGCCACACCTTTTTTAAAATTGATAAATTACAGAACAAAAGAATTATTTAGCCCCAAAGTGATGTTCCAAAATTCAAACTTTGGTGGATATAGAGGTTAAAGCACTAGTAAAATAAAATTTATTATACAAAAAAAATGTTGTAAATTTTAATGGAAAAACGGAATTTAATAAATTTACTTCCAGTCTGACAAATAAATAAGAAAATACTCTATGGGGCACTCTAATTCTAATCCTAAATATATAAAAAATACCTAAAATGAATGGAACAGGAAATTGCACACTGCAATTATCGAATTTGGATCCGGGTTTTTTAGACCATTGTAAATCGGCCTTGTCAACTCTCATGGATCGACTACCCAGGGTTAAAGCCATAGTCCTTACCTTGGGTCAATTGGGTGTCCTTCTTTGTCAACGTAATTCCAATCATTCCGATAATGCTAGCGACAAAAATGGTAATTATTCTTGTAGCGAACATCTAAAAAATGGAAAATGGGATATAAGGCATGTGGTGGCCCCTAAGGTGGATGCCATCGATACTTCGGTATAAAATATGCAATTTTCTATAGTTTAATTTTTAATAAGAGAAAATAGTGAAAGTTTGATTATCCATAGGACATACCATACAAGATAATCTAGTCATAATCACCGAGGAACTGAATTAATTTATATTATAAAAAATTAATTTAAAAAAAGTTAAATTATCCCCATCTTTCAACATAAATAGAATTTCTCTTTATTTTTTTTTCTAATTTCCCGAAACTTTTTAAAAAGAAGAATTTAATTACAATTTATAGAAAAAAGAGAATAAAGCCATATCAATAGATAGAATTTTACCATCATGAAAATGACTTTATTCTCTTTTTTACTTTATAAATTTTTTTTTAGAGACTGATAGTTTCTAATTACTAATATAGTTGAAATATATTGGAAAAATAATTATTATTGAGCAACTTAGTAATCTTAAACAAAAATATATATCACCCATGGACCATCTAGCTGAGAGAATCCACACAATTAAGTTACGTTATTCAAATTTTCGGATCTAATTATTGTATTATTCAGACTAATCGACTAATTGTATTATACATATTAATGGAATAAATCATTATTTAATTTTAAAATCATGTTTTAAATTTTTTTTCAAACGAATGATAATTAATCCTTATCTACTAAGAGAATGACATCTTGAAAAATAATATTCACATGAAATGAAAGTTTTGCATTAAAAAAGTTTTAGAAAACATATTTAATCTTCCTTTTCTAAAAAAATATATACAAACTTATAGGACATATCTGCAGCAGAATAAAAAAGCATGTTTTTTTGCTCAAAATAATTTGATATACAAATAGTTTCTCTCGGGAAATCAAACAGTTAATTGTAGTATAAAACTCTAATTACATTCGAATCACAAGGAATCTCCCAGTTTAATATATAAAATAAAATTACCTGGGCTCGGACTCCGAGGTAGAAGGAGGCTTATAAAACCATTGAATTTTCAAAAGTGAAATTTTTACCAGTTCTGTATATTGTATAAATGTTAAAATTGTTAGCTTATACAATATATATTTTTACAATGCTTATTAATAATTAGTGGATAAATTTAGATATCGGAAATTTGATTTATGCCTCATTTATAATAACATAGACACGATTTAACTATGCGGTATTTGGCGCTGTTTCCACAAAATCAAGATAATATAAATATGGAACGAAACGATTAAAACGCTATGATAAAATTTGAAAAACACATGCGACATATATTTCAGAAATTATTATCTTTATGCTGTGATTTTGGTAGCACTAAATACCACTCCGCTTGAACGAATCAGATTTATTGATAATTTTTTTTTTATTTCACATCAAAATATATAACAATCTTTTATTTTTTCATTTATAGGGAGCTGGTGATAGTTTTTTAGGAAGCTTAGCCTTTTACTGCGCCATGTATCCTTCCTTAGACTTGCATCAAATGATAAATCGAGCTTGTTTCATATCGTCTCAAACAGTCAAGCATAGGGGCACGCAATCCAGCTATCTCACTAAAAATGAATTACCCCAATTTCTCTTTTAAACATATTAAAAATATGCAAGAGCTTATAAATTGTGATAGAAGAAAAAAATATTTATTTATATTATATAGCTTATTTTTTCCCAAGAGATGTTATAAATTCTTATTTCAAGCTATTATCCTTCTCCAAACAATTCAATTTACATTATTACATAGATCAATTAAATTGTCAATCTTTTTAATATTTTGCTGGGCCAATTTTATTTATACAAACATGCCATATTAATATAAAATAAAGATAAATCACTAAATAATCGCCATTGATGCTTTTTTTCATAAAATATTTTAATGATGTTCTTTAATTTTAAAAACGGCCAATCCAATATTTGGCCAAAAAATACTATGCAAGTCTCAGGATTTCCTTAATAGATGCCCAAAACATTTCTGCCACCTATGAGCAAAATCTCCACCCTTGCTTAATATTTTTTGGCCAAAATCTTGGGTTAACCTTTTTTAAAAATCGAGCTGTGTATAAGGTAACTTCAAACAAAATTGCCTACATGCAGCGTCTACATGAGCGGGAGGGGTAGGAACAGTTAGCATCCTATTTTTTGAGGGGGGTAGGAGGTAGGCTACTTTAATGGGGGTAGGATAAATTTTTTGGGAGGTTATCTATTAAATTTTGAGATGAAATAGGACAAAATTTATTGCTGAAAAAATTAATACTTTTATTATAGAATTATTATCATACAATTCATCGACCAAATCTATATATTGCAAATAATCATACATTGTTTTCCAAATAAAACTTTCTTCTATCTTTTTAAATGTAATTTAAAAGGTTTAGATATTTCAGCAAACTCATAATAAGAATTAATTCATTGTAAATAATGGAGGTTTTAATTGAATTTATTATCTAAAAAATAAATTCTTTATATTCACAAAATATCGATAGTTGGTAGTAGAGATAGATTAATTTAAGTTATCCTTTATAAATTCTCTGAAAGGAGTATCAATAAATTTAAAAGGCGAAAATAATATTAAGGAGACACCGCCGCCAAAGATGGAGAGAATTTTGTAGAGGGGTAGGCAAATGTTTTTGAAGGGGGGTTTGCATCCAGTGGAAATCCTGTCATGTAAACGCTGCCTACATGACACATTGCCTTGAAATAACTTTCCTACCACTCCCTAAAAATTCTTCCAATAAGGCTGATTTAGAAAGCTCACATGAGCTATTGAACCGACAATGTTATAATATACTATAACTTGGCCCCTCGTATAATAAGGTTAATATCAATCTCTTTTTCAAAAATGAATATAATATCACTGATTTTTAGGATAATTTAAATATAGTATTTATAATATTATTCTTGGCATTGTCAACTTAATTATTATTAATATAAATTTTAACTATAGTACTTTAAGTACATAAATTTTAATATAGAAATTACACTTTTAGGTTTTTTTTAAAAAAAAATGTATTGCACAACAATCTATAGATTAATAGGGATATTGAACGAAACCTTTTGGACACCTTTAGGAAACGAAACTTGGGGAAAATTATAGAATGGGAACGGTGATTCCGGAAACGTTCCCTAAAAACTTGGATTTACTTACATTACTTCTACTTGTATCTTTCTTCTTTCGCTTTTTTTTGTTATTGATTAAATTTTTTATTAATTTTTCTTCTCGAGATTTACTACTTAATTTTTCCCCCATCTTCTAAGGAATTTTGTCTTTGGTACCTACATGTGCCTATTTACTAGTATGGAAATATGTTTGTGATATTTAGCACACAATAATAAGGATGAGTGTATATAACATACATTCATTATATTTCCAAAATGATAAATAGAAGTTCTAGGCTTTCAAAAGAAGAAAAAGAGTTAATTAATCAATATGATAGGTAGAATCCCACATAAATTTTTTCTTTTTTAAAAAATTTCGATAGTCGTTTATATGGAATGTTTAAATTTAAAGAAAAAGCACACGAATATCATCTTAATCTTATATCAAAAGTAATACTAAAATTTAAATATAAATACTGTTATTATCTTTACCTTTTTAAGGGAATAGAACAATATGAAACGATTTTGTTTTGGAAAAAAAATACATCATTGTTAAAATCTGATTCAAATTATGAAATCAGTGAATTAAATGCCACAAAAGAAACATCAATATTTTATCATTTAGGACATTTAAATTTGCTTATAGAGCAATATCCTCAAGGTAAGTTGTTTTCACATATATATTCTCTAATTACTAACTAACAATTATGGTTTACAAGAACAAATAAATATTAATATTGTTTTATAAATAGTTTATTAGTAAATAAATTGCAGTAATCAATACTTAAGAAGTTTTGGTTATGTTATAATATCTACAGTAACTATAAAATGGTCATCCCTTTATGGTGACCTCTATGATCAAGTAAGTTGAGTATTGGAAATATTTATACTATTGTTTTATAGTGCACCTGAATATGACCTTTTTATATGTATGATAGAAAAATTATCTAAAATATAATTATAGTAATTAAAAAATGTTCAGAAATATTTCTGGGACTTAATCATTTTTAACATTTGTAATCAATATTTCTTGAATGGTATGAATCAACAAAAACAACAATCATTTGAATTTTATAAAAATTAAATTTTATATATACTTATAAATACTTATTTAACCTAAATTATTACAATTTTATACAAAATTTTTAGTTGTATTTTTAATTTTTTAAATTAGTTATCACCTCTATATAGAGATGCTAATGAATAATTTTTTAGTTATATTAGTTTCAATGTAGTTTACAGTATATGTTTACTATTAAAATTTGTTGGTTACAATTTCAATATAATTGTGAGGCACACTAATAAATTTAAAATAATTGGAATATTTATTTATTGCTTTTATTTTCTTCAAATAATTTTTATTGGCACTGGAATGCTAATATTGCATATATATTTTTTTATTAATTAAAAATATATTATTTCTTGTGGATAAAACATATTTAAAAAAAATCTAATGACTATTTTTTTTATTAATCAGATCTAGTAATAACCCATTTTAGTTTTTTTTATATTGTTATTCAAATATATGTAGGGTTTAATTAATCCTTGATATTTTATTTTGCTTCCTAATTCTATTTTTGTTAGCATTATCATAAATTTTAAATATGATATAGCATTTTATTTCCAATTTTATTTTATAATCTTATAAATTTATTTACATTTATATATTGTATTAATAAATAATAGCCCTATCTGCTTATCAACGTTATTATGCACAAGAAAAACTGTTTTGGAAAGTATAACATTATAATTTTGTTTTTTAGTTTTTATATTTAAAAAAATAATATTATTTTTTTTTGGGCTGCACTGATCATTTTTCACTATCTGATCGATATTTAACGATATTTATTTCAAACAAAAAAGGGTTTTAATTAGAATATTCACTTATCCTGGCTCTTAAAAATCAAGTTTTAATATTTAAATTTGTAGAAAGCTTTTTATTTATAAGATATAAAGTCAATGTCATATTTTAGAGTCCTAGATTAATTATACATATAGTTCCTTATTAATTTTTGATGATCACAATTTTCACTTATCTATTTTAGCTTAATATAAATTAGTATAATTTTGCTAGCACACTATATATTCATTATAAATTTTCTGTATAACAAACTATGTATCTTTATTTGAATAAAAATCAAATTAAATATAAACATCAATTGATAAAATATTATAATAATGAAATACAAAATAATTAAAATTATAATATTGGATATTTTTCTTTAAAGATAACAGCACTCATGTCATGTTTATATGATAATAAATATCTTCAATATTTTATATATTATAAATTTTTTCAATGGATTTTATTTATTATAAATTTTTTCTTAATAAAAACAATGGTTTAATCAATAGACAAATAAAAATTTTGGGTAATTTTTTTATATTAGTTTATTAATATATTTTACTTATAAAAAACATTAAACATTTTTATTTGAAATATTTTTTTATTGGAGATATGAATATTTATTACGAGAAAGGGAAATTAGTTCAAAGATAGATAAAAATGATAAAAAAAATATGTATATAAAATGAAAAATTTACATGAAATTGGTATCGTTAAATTTTTGAAAAATATCTGCCTTCGATATTCCTTCTTAAAGTCATAGGTGCCTATCCTATACCGATATTTAATATCGGTACAGCCCGAATATTTAAACAATTAATTTGATATTTTGTTCTATAAAATTTGCCTATTTTTGATTAGGGGTCATTCCGTCACAAATCAAACACCTCATAGTCCACCTCTTTCAATATCGAAAATTTTTTATAGGCATATCATATATGTCCTAGCCTAGTTATACTAATTATGAAAAATTATCCCATTAACAATGATATTACCCGAACAATTGGGGAGTGAAGATATAAAAATTGACTTTTTTTTAAATCCGTTCCCGATGTTAAATAATTAGTTTTTTAATTAAAAACTAAATTAGTTCGAATATTAAATTTAATATGAATATCTAAGTCAATAATTTATAATTATGAGGGAAACTTATAAATTAAACATTTTTTTAAATATGGGTCATTTTATGTCCAGTTAAAAATTAAAAAATAATATTTCGAAATGAATAAAAGCTCCAATTTTTTTATTCGTTTACATATATTTAATAAATAGCGCGACTGCTTATTTTTTTCAAAAAATATACCTAGTAATGTATAAAAAAGACACATTAATGACGCTATATAAAATGTGTTATCGCAAGGTTCTTTATTGTTTAAAACTATTTTAAGACAATATAATTAATTTAAAAATAATATGTATATTTAAATGAAAATTCTTTATAAAATTTATTTAATGGCAAAATAATTTATTATTAATATGCATGATATTACTTTTAAATCAATTATAATGCCTTAAAATCATTAAAACCTATTATTACGAAGCGTTCATATATAGCGTCATCTATATTTTTCTTTGTACATATAGCGATATTTTTTTAAATAACTACCCAGATACGCTACGAAAAAAATTAAAAATGGTGGCTCATATTCATATCGAAATATTAATTTTAAATTTTCTACTAACCATAAGATGACCCATATTTAAACATAAAACTAATTTCGACGTTTTCCTTATAATTATCAATATTAATTACGCAGTTATTAATACTAGATTTAATATTCGAACAAATTTAGTTCTTAATTAAAACCTAATTATTTAAAGCCGATTTTTGTACCTTTAATCCACATTATCTCAAGTAATATTATTGCTAATGAGATTAAATGGCATTCAAGTAAGTTGGAAAATTTGCAATATAACTAGAACATATGACGTGCCCTCAAACCTTTATCAAAATTGCAAAAAGACGCTCGATTATCTCATTTCTTTTGCTTTATTTGACATGAAATGACCCTTATCAATAATAAAATTAAAATCACAAAATATTTTATACCAAAAGATTTCATTCTAATAATTAAAAAAATATTTGTCATTATTTTTTTTTCAATTGCCAAGATTTCATCTAATTATTGTCTTGCTCTTAGTATAAAGAATTAAATTTATTCATTTTGTTACTCTCCTATATGTTTTTGTTTTATGTTTTTATACAAAGGACCCGATATTTCTCTATGGCATAGGCTTGGTTTATTTTCACTTTGGGGCTTTTGATTTGTAAGTTTAAACATTTTAATATTCAAATTATATCTTAAATACATTATTGATATAAGACAATATTTTTATATAAATTAAAGAATATTTTACAATTATTTTTTCCCCATGCAATTAAATTTTGTTTCTTTTGGTTGTAGGATAGTTTAAAGTTACTATTCAAAAGTAACTAGTTTCATTTAAAAAAAATTTTTATCAAAAAATATTACAGGGCTTTGTTACCTGATTTAAAAAATCACTTCTTAAAGTTACTCAAACATAACAGCTACGTTATAAAGCATAAATCTTAGCTACAAAAATGTTTATTTTATGACTGATCAATGCCCTCTAGATCCCTCCTATTTTAATCACGCTGAGGTCCCCTGATAATTACAATATAAAATGGCACTTTTCTATGTATGCTGACTAAGGTAAGAATATACCTACCCTTGATATTTTAATGATAAATATATTTGTATCCCCTCCCTCTCGATGTTAGAGGACTTTAACTAGAGTCCTGCAGTGCTGGGCCTGCTGTGATATCATCAATAAAATATAAACCCGACCCTTGACCTAAAAAATATTATGTTTTTTTTCTTCTTATTCTTTCTTTTTTTGTCTAATTGAATATCACTTTTATAAAATGAAATTTAAAAAATAAGAATTAAGTTTTTTAAAAAATAGGAGGTTAATATTTACTATTCATTTTCTTATAATGTTTTGTAATAAAATAAAATAGATAAGCACTATTAAATTATCAAAGTTATTGGAGAATATTTAAATTTATTTCATAACATTAAAATAGCGAATAAAATAAATATTTTAAATTTGAGATCTTTCTTATAAACATTTTTGAAAATATGGGCTGCAACAGAGGCCGGCGTGATCTAAAAAAAATGCCTTTTAGCCATGGGTAAATAAATCTGAAGGAAAAAGTAACTTAAAAATAAAAAACTGAGGGGGAAAAATCTGTATTGTTAAAAAGAAATTATAATTGCAACAAAAATATAATCTAAATAAAGTGTAGGAAATTTTTTTAGGATGACTATTTGTTGATTTATTTTAAATTAGAAATTATTATTATGATGAGGTAAATATTTTTTTAAAAAAAATTTCTTCTTCATTTAGAAGCATTTGATATATGTAATAAAAATTAAAAATATCATTAAAAAAATCTTATTAATTTTTTTGAATAGATAAAAAAATATATATGGTAAAATAAAATTATTAAAAAATATACATTAAATCTAGAAATATGCATGATTAAAAGGGCATTCTTGGTTAAAGTGCTTCTCTAAATTTTATTGTATCTATTAATGAACCATGCAAAGGTGATGTAAATTAGAATTCTAGTTAAGTTTTTAGGCATATTCAATACAAGTCACCAAGCTAGCTGCTCAAGTAGTAATTTTATTGTATATTTAAATTGGTTTTAGGATATTTATTTACTCTATAATTGCTTCCCATTCCAAAACGGTAAAATTAGGTTTAATCCTAATTCCAAAATTATATCTCCAGCATGTCATGAATTGTTAATAATCTGTGACAATTAATTAATATTTTTTTAGAATTACTGATATCTATTTAGTCTTTAGTTTCTTGCAGGCAGTACAAATATAAATAATGGTATAAGAAACTGAGTAATTATTTAATGCATTCTATCACAAGTTATAGGTTATGGGTGGGAAGTACATCTTACATTTATAATATTGTATCATTAAGATTGATTGTTAATTCATCAGGTACATTTATGATTATAGAAATATCATTAGAATTGAAGTAGGCCGTTCAATAATTTCTTTCATTGTAAGTGTTCTCAGAACAATTTTGCTTTTTGAATGTATTGAAGATTAATCAAAATAATGGATTTGTCTAGACAAGTAACAGTCAATTTTTAGAGATAATGAGTTTATTTATTTGATTAGATTTTTCCGAATATTCAAGATTAATTCTGCAACAGTAGATTGAATATTTCCAGAACTCATTTTAATATTATCCATGCCTTGTAAAATAGGATCATGAATTATTTAAAGTCGCTATTGATTTTTGAGTGCCATTAAGAGTGATCAACTCGATGCAATCATCAATTATTTTATTTTTATTCAGTTTTACTGATAATGTTTGTTCTTTCAATGCCTCTCTGATGATGGCTTGACATCTTAATTTTTTTATTTCGTTAATTTTATCAAGTTCTAGAAGGTGGTTTCTTTTTATATGACCCTCAAGATTCGATCCATGGTATCCTTTAATAGTTGTATCGCAATCATTAATATTTTAAATCCACTAACTATAAAAATTAAAAATAAATAAAAATCATTCATGTAAAATGGCATTATAAAAAAGTTTATAAAAATTGTGACTGATGCTTATTAATAAAAATTGATGATTATAATCTTTAAAACAATTTGGATATTAATTAGAATTTTAGCAATAAACTAGTAATTTTCACATTATTTTATAAGCACAAAAATGAGGCTCGAATATTCAGGTTTAGATAAAAAATCTAACGTTCAAGTTTGGTTCAGATTCCTTATAAAATACCAGAAAGGTTTGATTCAGATCCCAGACTAAGATAATTGCCAAGCATATGTTCTCCGATGGCCTATAAAAATTTTGAAATAGTTTTATTGGATATATTCTTCCACCAGATTTTTAAAGTAGATTATTAAAATTAGCTTCCATACGTGCGTGTGACCTACAATATGGTAGAATTTAGTGTTTCTTATGGCCCGATAAAGTTTTTAATCAAAATAATATTAAGTAAACCTGGAGATTTTGCTAATTGACCCAAATCGGGCCTTTTTACAAGACTAGTAGAATCTATTATTCCAACCTTCAAAAATATTATCTAGTTACTTTGAACATTGCAAGTGAATGGCGGAAAGAGGGACTCTACGTTGTTACGGTTGTAATATTTTATTATGCACAGGCATTTCTTGGACATTTAAATATATACCTATACCTACCCTGTTCTTTATTTTTAATATGAACCATCGAAGAAGAGTTTTAAAAAAATTTTAATGGTATATTATTCAAAATAATAATTTAAATTTTTTTTATAAATCTGGAAATTTTCGGTTATATAGTAAATGAAACCATTACTTAAAAAAACATTTGTTTTTTGTTACACTTTGTATTATTTTTTCTTTTAAAATATAGTATAAGAAAAATCCCACAATTTTTTATTCCTAAATATTTTTTTTCAATAGTTTTTTCTTTTTAAGTTTTTTCTTTTGAGATTTTTGTTTCCACCATTTTTTTCTTGCCCCCCCCCCCTCTTGTACTTTTCGCTATTACCCTAGTATTTATCGTAAATATAAAAACAAACCAATCTTAATATATTTAACAAATAAAAACATAATCTATTCTCCTTATATTTTTTTAGGCAAATTCTTTCGAATTTATTTGAAGCACATTTCTAATATCATTTTCAAAGTCACTTTTCACCCTTTTATTTTCTTTTTATATATGTTTTATATTTACTTTTAAGATCTTTTACGTAAACAATATTATGTATAAATTTTGACACATTGGGTAAACACTCCTCTTACGCTGATTTTATTATTTTACACAAAAATTGCAAAACTAAAGCCAAATTAAGCTGCTTATAAAATTTGAAACAATACTCTTTTTATTCAATTGTTGAATATTTATATTTAAATAAATGACAGAAAATTTTTAATTACTTATTCTCATTTTAATAAAATAGGAAATATTTATTGAAAAAATACATGCTATACCTAATAGAGACATTAATAATAATTATCTTATCCTATATCTGATCAAATTTTAGATTTAAGAGCTTGAAAAATCTTATTGATTCTAAACTTAAAAAAATATATCAGCAACCAACTATTAAATAAAACACTTATCTTTTTATAAAATATAATTTTTTAATGTTTCCCAAATTGTTAATGTAATGGTATTACATTGTAGCTATTGACATATTTAAACCCGCGCAAAAACAATTAATGCAAGATCTACTTATTCGGGCAAGCATGGTTAATATATGTATACATTTTATATCTCTTGAGTTTGGACCTCACCTAAATTTAAACTTTTGTAAGTTTTTATTTAAATAATCTGGGAAATATGGTGGATATGGTGTTTTATTTTTTTACAATAGTAAAATAAATCCTCATAATTATAATTTAATTGTGAAAAATCAATTTTTTTTTCTGCCAAAACGATTTCTGTCATAATATATCACAGTATCTTTGCGTTTTTTAGTATTTGAATTTTAGTAATACCATTATATAATAGTTAGTAATAAATACAAATTTACACAAAAGCACAAAAAAATTGTATTATTATATATTGTATTGCACTTTTTTTAGACATAAACGATAATATAAAGTAGTGTTGTTAAACGGCTCGTTTTGAGCCTATTTTTAAAAACGGCTGAATTCAATATTTTAGCCAGAAAAATATTGCCTAAGCCTCCAGATTCCGCCAATTGATGTCTGGACCTTTGTGCCATCTATGAGCAAAATTTTCAGGCTTGCGTAATATTATTCCGGATATGGAGTAAGCTGTTTTACATCGGCTCAAATCGAGCCGTTTAACAACACTAATATAAAGTTGATTTTTTTACTGATGATTTTTTATCTAATAAAACGCAGAAGCGAATTTCCCGGATAGACAATATAAGGAATTGAGTTTAAGGCAATTTGATAGATTTTAAATATTGTTGAAAACTATTTTCATTATACGAATAGGTCTCCCTTTCGGGTAATATAGATGCTTGGTATAATGTATAATTAAATAAAACTTTCATTGAAAGTGTTTCCGTTTGCCTAAAATCTTATAAAATTTTTTTTTACATAATTGACACATAGATATTTTTTTTAACTATCAATATATAATTTTATTCTCTCTATAAATATAATAGAATTCAAAGACGATATTGGTAAAATTTAAATAATAACTCAAATTTTCTTGTGCCTTATAGAACTGTGTTGCAATTGCGGATCACCGTGTTTTGTTTATTATCAAGATGTTCTTGTAAATAGTCATAAAATAGA